AATTGAAATACACAATGAGGCGCATTTGACGACTTCAATACGAATGACATTTAGGGCTTCTATAAAAAAAATACATTAATTCAGCAGGTTCTTCTAAGCAATATTCCCATAATAGAATATTTTAAATCACCCGTGTGATACATTTAACCCTTGGTGTCAATGCTATGGTTAGCTACAAGTCCAGCCTTTACATACTGGGGTTAGTCTACCGCGTTTACACTTGCGACATGTATACTATACATTTTTAGGTAAAAATACTTCGCAATAAGTGAGTAGGCTCCCCTATTATGTTAGGCCTTATAGCGAAGTTGTTTTTTTTCTAGACATGCATAGTATACATGTCGCAAGTGTAAACGCGGTATAAAGGAAAGAAGTAGAACAAAGCACATAGGAGTAGATTGACATTAACAATTACTAAAAACTTCACTCGCTTCAGTTTTAAGTTTCCTACGTCGTCATTGAACACTGTGTTTGTTTTACAACTATATGAATCTTGTCTTAAGCATCGTCCTCTATTTTCCCGTTTGCACTAACTTTAAAAAGAAAACCACTTAACTTACTTCCCCCCTTCCCCCCCCCCCCCCCCCAGTGTCTACCTTAGTTTGGGTGTAGCTGTATACGTCAGTTTGGCAGATTTTCCTTCAGGATTCTCTCTGTGGAGTCACCACCACCGTCCCGTACTAAATGTAATAAATAGCTTATATAGAAAATATACTTAAACCAGTGTCCGCCCCCCCCCCCCAATATCTGAAAGTAACCGTGTAGTTAAGTCAGTGGCATCTCTAGGTCGAGTATCACATACATACCCCCTCCTCCTCCCCTCCCCCCTCTTCTTGAAGGTTGTATTGTGTAAGTCCAGTTTCGTTTGTGGGTGAAATATCTACCGAATCATATTGCACGGCGCTGATAAAGTTCTCAGGAATGTGCACTCTTACTTTGTGTAAGAACTCACAAACGTGCACTATTAATTTGTGTACTAACGTGCACTGTTAGTTTGTGTAAGTGCTCACAAAAGTGCACTGTTTGTGTCGGTACTCACAAAAGTGCACTGTTTGTCTTGGTACTCATAAAAGTGCACTGTTTGTGTAGGTACTCATAAACGTGCACGGTTTGTGTAGGTACTCTTAAAAGTGCACTGTTTGTCTTGGTACTCATAAAAGTGCACTGTTTGTGTAGGTACTCATAAACGTGCACGGTTTGTGTAGGCACTCATAAACGTGCACTGTTAGTTTGTGTAGGTACTCACAAAAGTGCAGTTAGTTTGTGTAGGTACTCACAAAAGTGCACTCTTTGTGTAGGTACTCATAAAAGTGCACTGTTTGTGTAGGTACTCTTAAAAGTGCACTGTTTGTGTAGGCACTCATAAACGTGCACTGTTAGTTTGTGTAGGTACTCACAAAAGTGCAGTTAGTTTGTGTAGGTACTCACAAAAGTGCACTCTTTGTGTAGGTACTCTTAAAAGTGCACTGTTTGTGTAGGTACTCTTAAAAGTGCACTGTTTGTGTAGGCACTCATAAACGTGCACTGTTAGTTTGTGTAGGTACTCACAAAAGTGCAGTTAGTTTGTGTAGGTACTCACAAAAGTGCACTCTTTGTGTAGGTACTCATAAAAGTGCACTGTTTGTGTAGGTACTCATAAACGTGCACTTTTTGTGTAGGTACTCTTAAAAGTGCACTGTTTGTCTTGGTACTCATAAAAGTGCACTGTTTGTGTAGGTACTCATAAACGTGCACTGTTTGTGTAGGTACTCATAAACGTGCACGGTTTGTGTAGGTACTCTTAAAAGTGCACTGTTTGTGTAGGTACTCTTAAAAGTGCACTGTTTGTGTAGGCACTCACAAACGTGCACTGTTAGTTTGTGTAGGTACTCACAAAAGTGCAGTTAGTTTGTGTAGGTACTCACAAAAGTGCACTCTTTGTGTAGGTACTCATAAAAGTGCACTGTTTGTGTACGTACTCATAAAAGTGCACAGTTAGTTTGTCTATCTCCGCCAACACACTGCGTCAGTCCAACGTCTTGATATCACGCTGTTGCCGCGGCTGTTAAGTACACGGGGATATGTCTAGTGCACCAGCTTGTGAGTTGTTGATTAAAGCCTCCCTATCTTCTCAATACATTATAGGCTAACAGTGCAGACTGTTGTTTTTTTTTTCTTATTACATAGTGCAGAGAATCGACGTCTTACAACTCACGCTAGTTTTTGTTACAGTTTATTTGAACTCGATACTTGTGTTAGGAAACATCAATTTAACGCTGTTTTTGTATAGGTAAAACTGAGGTATTTATTTTTATAAATATTTATTTTTTGAACTATTTACTTTACCCAGCTAGCTCCCTGATCTTGGTATATTTGTCTTTAGAATAATGGCTTACAGTTTCCTCTTCCAATCGTTGAGGCCTAATACCATGTAATGTTCTGATCATTGTATAGATAATTAACATCTCTCTTGCCCTGCCGATTCATCTGTTCAGCTTGTTACGTCACGTTTGTTTGTTTACGTTAGAGCGTGCCATGGTCAAACCCTGATCAGGTGCACCTGTGTGTCGTAATGAACCATGTGGCAGGCTTCACTCATTAAACATGGGGTGATTATCTCTGGAAGTTTGGCGTACAGGCTGATGGTAACATGGTGCACCTTTCTTTTGTTAGCTGGGGGGTTATAAGCAGGGGTCGAGGACTGGTATCTGTTACAAAAATGGGTCAAGGATTACATTTGTTACCAGCAGGGGTCAAGGACATATATTTGTTACATGCTGGGGTCAAGGACATATATTTTTTACAAGCAGGGATTAAGAACTTAGATGATTTTACATGTAGGGATTAAGGAGTTACATTTGTTACATGTAGGGATTAAGGAGTTACATGTAGGGATTAAGGAGTTACATTTGTCACATTTAGGGATTAAGGAGTTACATGTAGGGATTAAGGAGTTATTTGTTACATGTAGGGATTAAGGAGTTATTTGTTACATGTAGGGATTAAGAATTAAGATGATTTTACATGTAGGGATTAAGGAGTTACATTTGTCACATGTAGGGATTAAGGAGTTACATGTAGGGATTAAGGAGTTATTTGTTACATGTAGGGATTAAGGAGTTATTTGTTACATGTAGGGATTAAGGAGTTATTTGTTACATGTAGGGATTAAGAATTTAGTTGATTTTACATGTAGGGGTTAAGGAGTTACATTTGTTACATATAGGGATTAAGGAGTTACATTTGTTACATGCAGGGATTAATGATTAAGGACTTAAATTTGTTACATGCTGGATTTATGGACTAAATTTGCTTCATAAAGGGATTAAGGACTTACATATTTGTTTCATGTAGGGATTAAGGACTAGCATTTTTTCCTTGCAGGTGTCAAGAAATTACATTTGTTACATGAAGGATTCAAAGTCATATATTTTTTGCATGAAAGTGTTTAGGACTTCATTAGTTGTATCTAGGGGGTTTAGGACTTAAATTTGTTTATGAGGGGGTCAAGGACTAACATTTGTTACATGCAGGGTTCAAGGTCATATATTTTTTGCATATAGGGGTTTAGGACTTATAATACATTAGTTATATGCAGGGGTTTGTCTAGTAACTTTGATGTGTTTACGATATTATAATTGGATGTCTATTTGCAAAACCTATAAATATTTAGAAAACACTGTTGTTTAACTAATTGTGTTAGTTTTTCTTAGGATTTTTTTTTCTCTGTTAAATTAGCTTTCAAGTATGTCTCTTTTATTTAATCTAAATGTGTGAAATAATATAAAATCCTAATACTGAGCCTGGTGGGACAAGTATTTTTAGCGCAATTTCCATTCTGGAGAATTGCGTTTATTAACCTGTCATTTATGGATGTATGAATGTATGAATGAATGTGTGTCCGCAGCTTTAAGTCGTATCTACTCCTCAACGAAGCAATATCGAGGACTAGTTCCAAAAGCAATTATGTTAAGCAAGTTACGAGGATGAACATAGGCCAAAAAAATTCCGGGTTTCTTTCATGGATTTCCCGGAAAAGCCAAAAAACCTCGAAAAAATGCAGTTTTTGGCCCATATCTCGGCAACCAGACCACTTAGCGACTTGAAACATGTACCAATCGATTCCTGCCATGATTTAGAACAATATTGCCGAAGAAAGTTTTCAAAAATATCCTTTCGTTCGGTCACAAAAAAAAATTTGAATTAATTAAAATTTGGACCGAATTAGTAGGCATTTTTATCCAACCACACCACACGCGTCATCACGTTCAATGGCTGCGATATCACGTTCGGTAGCTAGGCGCGCAATGGTTTTTAGTCCTGTAACTCTATCTTCTATATATATAATTCTCCTCTTCGAGCCGTTAGAAAACAAGCTGCAAACGCTCTCCCTACCTCCCCACCCCTACATGGTTTTAGTGAGCTGTGTTCACTCTAAATGTTTACAAGCAGAGCCAACGATTTTAAACGTAGGGGGGGGGGAGGGGGGGGGGGAAGGAAGGGGGAGGGGTTATGGTCCTTAACGAGCTACTTCTAGTTGTAAATAAAACATGTATTTTAACCAATGGTTTTACTAACCCTGCTCTTGATTTACGCTACGACAAAGCTATTTTTAGATAACATAAGGAAATTGCGCTAAAATTGTCACTAGACTTTTTAATTACCTTGTTTTTTCTAAAAGTCCACTTGTCATTAGCAATACTTTTATTAAAAACACAATTGAAATTGTTTGAATGAATTGGGATTAGTCTCAGTTATAGTTTATGTATTATCAAACACAATTTAACTAATAGCCATGTCCCCAAAAAACAAAGTTAATTTAAGTATTTTTCTATTTGTTTTTATTTGTGTTATAACCGAATGATTTTATTGTGAAGCTTATTTACTGTATATTTTGTTTAACTACTTTTTTAATTATTCACATACTATTATGTGTGTTTATTTTATTTTTTAAATACATTTTAGCAAATGATTATCTTCATCCGTCGCATGTATTTAATTTCTGTTTTGGCTTTCTTCAGAGATTGGTGTAAACAGAAAATTTGGATATTCAACACACACATTGGATTCTGAGTTGCTTTCAAAGTTTGGTTTTATCCTGGATTAACATTGCAGCTTAGAGAAGTTATGCTGTATAGGCTGTTCTCTGCTCTCTGTTTCTGTTCCTATTCATCCCAGGCTGTGGTTAGAACAGATCTAGCATTCACTGATGAATGAAATTTTGGTGCCAAATTCTTTTTATTTTCATTCACATTTATGTAGTCTTGGACCTGAAACTGTTTGGGATCTACTCCAGCGACATAACTACCAGCCTGTGTGGTGTGGTACAAACTGCGTACGCCCGTATAACTGTGTGAACCTAGCAGTTGAAAATCACGTCCGTTATTTGAGTCTTTTGATTGGTGACATCATGGGGTGCAGGCAGAGCGTGGTGCAGGAGGCGGAGGAGAATTCCGTCGAGTCCATCAGGTACAGCCGGCGCTCCACTAAAATAAAGCGCAGCAAGAGAAAAAAGCTGAGCAAGACAAAAAGCGGAGGGCACGAAACAAAACAGAACGGGTCCGAGGATATCATGCAGGATTTAGAAGAGATACCGAACGCTGTTTCTGAAGAAGAGGTGTCAAAGAAATCAAAAGACGGCAGGAAGAAGTTGAAGAAAAAAAACAACACAAACGAGCGTTCGCAAATGTTTGGTAATCAGTCTATAAAAAATGTTTTGACTTTGTCGGTAGACACGCCGGAGGCAGCTGAGATGGAAGCGAAGCAGGGAAAGTTTGGGTCCAAACACGTCTTCCCCATCTGGGAGTCCCATTACAATGAGACCTGTAAATGTGTGAACAATGACCACAGCGACAACGCCACGCCCCCTGGTGACAGGCGGAAGTCCAGCCTCAACTCCGACCACTTGTGTAAACGCTGCTCGCAGCTTGTCCTCAACAACAAGCGGACGGTCACCAACAATAACAACAGCAGCAATTCTCCGAGTACTCTCGCTGGACCGGTCAGTCCAGACGGCGCCGCCGCCAACACCGTTGACAATGTGCCCAGCGACCCCAACAGTCTTACATCTGACCCATTCCAGACACTGTCCCAGCAGACGCAGATAGCAGCTATAGCCAACCTGTTGGTACTGGTGCGTGAAAACCTTTGATTCTACCCAGCCAGCTTTGATAACTGTCAAACGTGTGCTCACTGGCATGTTAGCTTGTGTTTGCTTGCTTGTTTTACTGCTTGGTCCTGTTAATCTCCACCATATTGTATGACAACAAGCCCTTTCAATGTGTGTTTAATTTATTGTATCCACATGTTACTGCTCTTTGTCACCCATGCACCCTAAGAATGTGTGCATCAAACCACACCACATTCTGCACAACTTTCCCCTTATATTACAATCTTACAAAACTCTTTTCAAAAATTAGCTTGGCACCTAGTGTCCAATTGTTTCTGCTTAATGAGTATTTATAGTTATCAGACAGGTACATGACCTAAACCTTTAGTTAAAATCCAAGTCAAACTAAACTTTTCTAATAGGCACCTGATTAAAAGCAAGATGTTGGCCTATGTAACATATTTCACTTAATTTACTTTTTTTATACTTTTTATGTTGTCCTTCTGGATTTCTCAGCTTCTATTTATAGGCCATAGGCAATGGTTGTGCGCTTACCGTATACTTTGAAAGCCTAAATATTTTATAAGCTTACTGTATACTTTGAAAGCCTAAATATTTTATATGCCTACCGTATACTTTGAAAGCCTAAATATTGTATATGCTTACCGTTTACTTTGAAAGCCTAAATATTTAAACACCATACACTTTGAAAGCCTAAATATTTTATATGTTTATTGTATACCGTTTACTTCAAAAGCCTTAATAATTTCTTTTTTAACTGCCTGTGCTTTAGAGGTTATCAAAATATTTAAGTTCTTCACCCCTGATTTAAAAAAATTGTTTTCAAAGGCTGTATTAAAACTAGAAAGACATTTTTTTTTTATTATTGATCCTGCCTCATTACTCCAGCACTTGTATTTAAATTCTGTTTGTGTCTACACAAACACGCCTCATTACTTTAGCAGCCATAGTATTCAGAATCTGTTTTTGTGTTTTAACAAACATGTTTTTATAAAGAATCCAAAGAAAAATGTTTTAATTAAGAATCCTGCCTCATTCCTCTCTCAGCCTTAGTGTCGAGATTTTGTTTGTGTGTGTAAACAAACCACGATGCACCTCTATCCATGTCGTACTCTCTTCCTCCTGGTTGTTTGTTTACTGTTTCAGGCAATGTTGTAGCTCTTGTAAAAATAAACACACACAGCTTGTGAAGTTTTATTATCATTGTCCAATAACTACATAATGGGGTTGTGTGATAACAAGTAAATAGGATAGAAACCAAACTGAAAAGCTGCATATTTCATATTGTAATTTTCTACTGCTCCCACAGTTAAACTCCCTAGAATTGCAAGGTTCTAATAATAAAACATAAAGGTTAATTAAAACCTTGTAGATCCTGGGATGTTCATATCATGCTAAACACTGTTTCACTCTTTGGCTTTGTTTGGTTCACATAGATTTTTTTGTTTAATAACACGTCCAATTTTTAATGTTAGTAAACTATCTACATAACCTTAGATTAAGCCATTATTGAATTGTGACACTATTCTGTTAACCTGCTTGAATTATAATGGCTGCCTATCTTGTATTGCATAATCACTAATTGATGTCTTGTGGATGAAATATTTAGTAACACAACTGGCGTATAACATATTGTACCAGCACATAGAAGTTGGTTATGATGGAATTCTTGCTTTTGTAAATCTGACAATTCACATCTGTGTTTAGTCACTCGTTCATGTCTGTCATTATCTGTAGTGGCACTATAATATGTGTCTCATATTGCTAATTTCTTGTAGAGAAAGAAAAGTTGATGAAGTTAAAAATTGGTAACCAGTTTAAAAGTGTTTGATATATTGACTTTATAAAACAGTAATAATTTGTCTAACTATAGAGATACTGTTGTAGTACAAATGTTGGCACTATTTCCTTTCTATAATTATTGTTTATTATACTGAATATATAGTAACATATTTTTGAAGAAGAAAAAACTGGGCTTGTAATATTTACAAAGTGAAAATATTAAATTGTTTCAATGCCTGACTGATTGGTCATCTGTTTTATCCTGGAATTAGAGATTACTTTAAAGTTTTTTTGTAACAATTTTTGTGTCTCTCCTCCCCAGGCTGCGCTAGATCTGTCAGTCCCAGCAAGTTCACTTCTAGTCAAGAACAGGAAGAATGCCTGGATCCAGCTGGCTGGACATCCTGGTAAGTGTGGAGATGAAGATTCTAGCCTGGGATCCAAACCTGAGGCTTTTGGGATAGCAGTCGTAAGCTCTACCATCCAACCACGCTATTGTCCCCTTATATTTAATTATAGTATTAAAATTCTGCTAGTGTGTTAAAAACAGTTTATTCAGAGCACAATTAAATATAGATCCATGTATTGAAAAATATTTTTCCATTTAAAATGATGATAAACTTTAGTAAAGCTTTTAATGTACCATACATGTAGTAATTATGTTACCATCTTTGTGTGGTTGTGTTCTTTATGTTGCCATCTTTGTGTGGTTGTGTTCTGTATGTTACCATCTGTGTGTGGTTGTGTTCTTTATGTTACCATCTGTGTGTGGTTGTGTTCTTTATGTTACCATCTTTGTGTGGTTGTTTTCTTTATGTTGCCATCTTTGTGTGGTTGTGTTCTTTATGTTACCATCTGTGTGTGGTTGTGTTCTTTATGTTACCATCTGTGTGTGGTTGTGTTCTTTATGTTACCATCTTTGTGTGGTTGTTTTCTTTATGTTGCCATCTTTGTGTGGTTGTGTTCTTTATGTTACCATCTTTGTGTGGTTGTGTTCTTTATGTTACCATCTGTGTGTGGTTGTGTTCTTTATGTTACCATCTGTGTGTGGTTGTGTTCTTTATGTTACCATCAGTGTGTGGTTGTGTTCTTTATGTTACCATCTGTGTGTGGTTGTGTTCTTTATGTTACCATCTTTGTGTGGTTGTGTTCTTTATGTTACCATCTTTGTGTGGTTGTGTTCTTTATGTTACCATCTTTGTGTGGTTGTGTTCTTTATGTTACCATCTTTGTGTGGTTGTGTTCTTTATGTTACCATCTTTGTGTGGTTGTGTTCTTTATGTTGCCATCTTTGTGTGGTTGTGTTCTTTATGTTACCATCTTTGTGTGGCTGTGTTTCTTTATGTTGCCATATTTTTATGGTTGCGATCATTCAGCAAATGATTTTATTTCTCTTAGGTTCCTTTGCGCCAGCTGGCCCTAACACCATCTGGAAGAAAAGACTTGTCAAAGAGAACTATGAGACCCTGGCCTATCAGGCTCTTTCAGAGTTCCCCCAGTCCAAACACATCATGCCAGCCTTTTATCGTGAGGTGGAGTTTAATGGGGAGTGTATCCTTTTCAGCTGACTCACAGTGTTGAGGCTGTGTCAGAGGTTTGAGCTGCTTGATTCAATACCATATGCGAATACCATATGAAGATATTACAACCGTAGGCAGTCATTATACAATTACTTATCTAGACGACACATGTCAGAGGTTTGAGCTGCTTGATTCAATACCATATGCGAATACCATATGAAGATTTTACAACCGTAGGCAGTCATTATGCAATTACTTATCTAGACGACACATGTCAGAGGTTTGAGCTGCTTGATTCAATACCATATGCGAATACCATATGAAGATATTACAACCGTAGGCAGTCATTATACAATTACTTATCTAGACGACACATGTCAGAGGTTTGAGCTGCTTGATTCAATACCATATGCGTATACCACTACCATATGAAGATATTACAACCGTAGGCAGTCATTATACAATTACTTATCTAGACGACACATGTCAGAGGTTTGAGCTGCTTGATTCAATACCATATGTGAATACCACTACCATATGAAGATATTACAACCGTAGGCAGTCATTATACAATTACTTATCTAGACGACACATGTCAGAGGTTTGAGCTGCTTGATTCAATACCATATGCGAATACCACTACCATATGAAGATATTACAACCGTAGGCAGTCATTATACAATTACTTATCTAGACGACACATGTCAGAGGTTTGAGCTGCTTGATTCAATACCATATGTGAATACCACTACCATATGAAGATATTACAACCGTAGGCAGTCATTATACAATTACTTATCTAGATGACACAGGTGATGATTAATCAACAAGATGAATATAGGTTTCCTCATCTTATATTTATTCTGGTACTGGACTCATGTGCACCCTTTTATCAAGATGATACAGATAAGACTCACGCACACACAATACACAGCAACCAGTCTCTACACAAAAATATCACTATCACACTATATGTGTCACATCATCCATTCGTTCAACAACGTGCGCACCAATATTCACTCCCACCAACCTTTATTGAGGACATGCATCATAACACACAGAAAAGGTTTAAGTGTTATGTAGAAGGATTTAAATTTTAATGAAAGATACATTTAGGCTATATCTAGATGTCAGGTTTTATTCCTTGATTGTTGAGCAGATTTTATTGAGATGGAAGATTTGTTGCACCACTTTCATGATCCCAGTATTATGGATATTAAAATGGGTACCAGGTATGGCTTAGTTTCCTATATTGTTATCTTGATTATCAATGTTTAAAATTCTTTTTAAAATAAATAGTTGAATTTATTAAAGAGAAAAAATAATCACTCCAAAATCATACAACTGCTGCCTTGTAGTTTGTTCTTGGTTGAACAAAGGCCATTGCAGCTGATCCAAAAAGAAAAGCAGGCTGAAATCCTTTCAATATTAAAAATTAAGAACGAAGAAGACAGAACAAATGTTTGTCTTATTTTATTTTTAAATTTATTTCTACTGTAAATTATACCATCTTAATTAAATATAAAGAAAAATATTATTTAATTTACTTTTTAGCCAGTGTATGTTATATGTACCATGTTAACATTTGAAACATATTTTACCTGTATTTTGTATGTGACAGGACATTCCTAGAGGCTGAGGTGAAGAATCCTGTGCTAAGGAAAGATCTGTACGAGAAGATGGTCAAAGTGGACCCCAACGCACCCACAGAAGAGGAGAGGGCACAAGAAGCAATCACAAAACTTCGATATATGCAGGTGGGGTGTGCTTGATACATAAGTCAACCTCTGCTGTCTATAATAGTTGACTTATTTCTTTGTGGTCCCTGGGGAGCAAAAAGTTGCAACCATACCTCTCCAATGGACTCAGTTTAAGGGCAGCCTCTCCTTATCAAATACTCCTAATCCTAACTGAACTATCTACACTACTTCTACTATCTGACTGATCCACTATAACTTTCTATTAAAACAACAATTTACTCCTCAACAATAATCTAATCCATGTTCCAAACTCAACTGCCTGTCTTCTAGCTTAATCTATCTTAAACTCATGCTACACATTCAAATGACCAACTGACACTATCTCTGACTAACTGCCCATGGCAAGTAACCAGTGAGTTTGTTTTTGATTGCTTGGGCTATTTGATAGGTTCTTACTTCTTAGTTCTGCTTGACCAATGGCTGTTTCTTAATTTTTCCATTTTCCCTTTTCTGTTAGACCTATTTCTTACTGCACACTGTTTGTTGTAAATATTGTACAGATAACTTAATTACGAGTGTCATAAAATTTGACTAAACCTTGTTTTTTATTTCATCAGTTCAGAGAACAAGAAAGCTCTACAGCCAGTTTAGGCTTTAGGATAGAGGCCATCAGAGTAAGAGACTTGATGTATCTTAGCACATGATCACACTTAGAAAACATCTTGACACTCTAACCACACTAAAAATGTTCATTGGACTTTAATTTAAGCAGGGGAGTGGAGGTCCAAACAAGCAAAAAATCATGTGTATATAAGAATAAAAGACTTGTGTCTGTCACCAGCAATTTTCCAGGCGGTCACCCATTCTTTAAAAAAAATTGTACTTAGTAAATAATATTCCCTATTTGGAAACTAAAGATAGATTGTGTGGTTGCCAATAGATGTAACTTAGAATAATACTGTTGTTAATTTTTTCCAGCCTATTGTATATGTGTGTGTAGGATGGGGGGCAGTTCTAACACCCTGCTTACTCCACTGATCTTTACACTATGTAATTATATTTGATAACTGGTGAACATGATTTAGAAACGTTTTATTTTCAACCTGAGGTAGTTTAATTACCTTGTCATAACATCATACAAACATCTTTGTTTTGTACCTGATAGAAACACAGAGTACACTTTTTTTTGGTTATAACATAACTGGTAAACATCATCACTTGTTTTATTTTCTACATGGATTAGTCTCATTACTCATGACCTGTTTCAAAATCTTTAAAACATCTTTGTGTTGTATGTCATAGTAACACGCCATACAGTAAACTTTTTGTTTTTGATTATCAGATGACAGGGGAACCTCCCAACACAAACTTAAAGAAAGTCAGAACAAAAGAAGAGGTAAATTAAACTTCACTTCTATGTTTTATCTCCTGATTTCTTCATCATACCACTACATTTTTTTTTATTGCTCACTAGTCTGAATCTAACTTAATTCCCTTCTAGACTGACAAGAATAAATAGTATTGTATTACTGCCCAACCTAACCTGTATAACATGTTTGAGTGTCAGCAGCATCTCACATAATTCCATTCATGTTTGACAAGAATAGTTTAGTATAGCCTGCCCTGTATAAGTAAAAATAATGTCAAGTTCCCCTTTCAGACCTTACCTAACAATCCATAGGACAGATGAAGTAGAGTCCATAAGTTTCTAGTCTTCATCATTGGAAGGGAATGTGTTATCCTAATATATAAAAGCCCAAGTGCGCACTTCTCTCTCTCTCTCTCTCTCTCTCTGTCTGTCCGCAAAATATTTTCGCCGGATATCACGTCAGAATCTTCAGCGATATATGGTGAACTTGCTACGGACTTTTGTTGAAAATAATATGGTAGATGTTTTAAATGTATAACCACAATTTTATTTAAAGCAGAAAAATAAAAAAATAAAGGCGTATTCGAATGTAGAAAAACAGTTTTAATTATGCAACAGGAAAAGCGTTTATAAATTGTGAATAAAAAGTAATGAACTATTTCATTCAAATATTATTTAGATCTACGTACGTTATAAAATTTATACAATACAATTTTGCTCTGGCTAAACTTTAAAAAAAATTTCTATTAGGATTCTAGATCTAGAGATTCTAGATCATCTAGATCTAGAGACTCTAGATCATCTAGATCTACGGAAAAACTAGACTTACACAGATGTAGACCCTACCTAGATCTAGAATCTATTCAAATAATACATTTCTATATTAAAGTATTTCAGGCCTTAATTACTTTATTGAAATCTTTATTTATCTATGCAATTTGCTAATCTCTATAATATATAAAGCAAAGTTGTTGGGTGCCTGATAGGGCACTTCCCGGCGCCGCAGGCGCTTCAAATTTTGCTTGATCTTGCCTTGGGGCGACAGAACTCGGGGGCCGGTGCCGGTTGGCCGAAAAGTCTACGATGAGGGGGTCAAAACTGACCTCGACTGACCGGCGCCTTATATGAGCTATAAATCGGAAAAAATGTCCACGCAGGAACCTCTTCATAACTCCTGAGGTCGTAGACCGACCCTCGGGCGGATTAATTAAGCAGTCAAATTCTCAATGTTTTCGAAAGCCTAAGTGAAGCTGGGCAGCATGCCTAGTAAACACTATAACCAGCTGCCTTTACTTTCCCTAACATAAGTCAGGTACCAATCAGAGCTGGGTAAACACCGGGATGTCTTGAGACCTCGCATAATTCAAATTAAATACTAATGGGTTAGTAGTTGAGTGCTCACCTAAGCCATCTCCTGTGTATTGCACTTTATTGTTAAACTAATTTCAATTTGATGAGCATGTCTAACACTGGAGTATGTTTTCTTGTTCTGTCTCCAGGTCTCGTACTTCATGGAGACATTTGTGCAGGACCATGCAGTGGTCATCCCAAAGCTGTACGAGCGCTTGTGTGATATTAAGGAGAAATTTGAATCCATTCCATTTTTTAGCACGCATGAGGTCAGTTAATACTGGGGTTTTTGTGTCATTTCTGGAAAACACAATTTTATTACGTGTTCGACCTTTCAAAGCTTATCAAGGAAAGGTACCCTATATCATCAAACATCTTATAAATATCAAATTTTTTAAATATTAAAAATGGCAGATCAAGAGTATATAATGAGTTTTTAAGCGCAAGATTATTTCATATATAAACTCAAGATGTATATAAATCAGGAAACCATACTTTATTCTACACTGTGCCATATTATGCAGTTGTACTTTATTAAAGCAGGTTTATATTGGTGATATGGTAAGGCCTTAAAAAATAGTTAACAAAGACCTCAAGTTTTGCCAGAGCACAGGTTGCTACAATGTAGCTAGGCAGGTGTAATTAGGGTTAGGGTTAAACAAGGCTGTTTTTTATTTTCTAAAATAATAACACTCTAAAACTAAAATATCTGGTGCCATTAGGATTAAAATTGTGTTGTTTTTTTTTTAAATAACACACTGAAAACTAAGTAAGTCTGGTGCCATTAGGGTTAGGGTTAGTTTTTTAAAAATGACACGCTGAAACCAAAATAAATCTGGTGTCATTAGCGTTTGAGTTAAAGTTTTTTTTTTAAAAACAGATACTCTGAAACCGAAATAAATCTGGTGTCACAAATGAGTTTCTTTATTTTCATCAGATCATTGGTAGCAGTTTACTGATCATGTATGACAGGAGCAACAACGCTGGGGCCTGGATGATTGACTTTGCTAAAACCATTCCCCTTGATGGCATCACAGTAAATCACAGGTAAGTCACACACTTCACCAAATTGTGTGGTTTGCTAAAAGTAATCCTCTTGATGGCATCATGGTAAATCACAGGTAAGTCACACACTTCACCAAATTGTGTGGTTTGCTAATACCATTCCTCTTGATGGCATCACAGTAAATCACAGGTAAGTCACATACTTCACCAAATTGTGTGGCTTTTTTTAGTTCACTTTCTTTTTTTTTTTAGTTATGCCCCTTTCCTAAGGTGATAGCTATTAAGACTGAAAGGGTTGATCCTGATGTTGGCTGTTTCCAGGCTGAATATTATTAGTGCGGGTTTAGGTAGTATTGGTTATGGGGTGGGGTTTTACTCCCTATATCTTTTCATACAATTCTAATACCCAAGCAGATAACGAGTAAGTCTTATCACAGTATTTAGTCTGATAAAGTATTTATTGGTTTCTAGAACGACAAGCACATTTATGCTTACTATTATATCTGAAGACAATTTATGTTTATTTTCTTATTATTCTGTAAATAATAACAAATAAACAAAAAGTATTTATACTCATTTATTCACTTCCAGAACGCCATGGCAGATAGGAAATCATGAAGATGGATATTTGACTGGCTTGGATAACCTTGTTGAGGTAATAACTGAATGATTGATGAAGGTTTAACACATGTATCAAACAGGCATCTACAGTTGTAGATCATGGCATGTGAAGTAGAGTTGCTGCTTGTTTGATCATCACAGTAGCCATCTGTGCACTTTCCCTGACTTAAATAAACCCAATCCAGGAATTTCACTTTAAAAAGCAAACATAAACAAAAATCTTTCAGTCTACCCTTACCAGGGGCATTTTTGATTAAAATTAATTGAGGTTGTATAATTAGCTTATTTTTCAATCTTCCCAGTGTATCAAAAGTTACTTTAATAATGAGTTGGTTATCTAAATTTATTAAAACTTCTTTAATAATAATAAGCTTTAAAATGCACTGAAAATAAGGAAATAAAATAAACTTGCTTACTTTAATAAAAGCATTGGTAGTTAAAATTTGTTAGAGATTTCTTGTGCGACTGAAAGTTTTTTTAATTTTCAGTTAATTTAAAAGCTTATTATTTTTAGGATGTTTTTTTTTTAAATTTAAAAACAAATTCTACTTTTAAATAACCATAAAATATGAAAATAAAGTAGTATGTCAATATTTATTTTTTTTTTTAAAAAGTCACGGGCCTACTGTATTTTTTTTTTTTTTTTGCATTCTATTCATTTTTAATGAAGTTGATAAAACAAGACTAAATCTATTTGCTTTCAAACCCAACAAATAGATTACTATCTTAAAACAACAATTGTCTACCCGTAAGTAAACAGTGGGGTGGCGTGGTTATAAGTAAAAGACAACACTGAAAGTCTCCATTTGTGTTCCTGGCCTGAAATCAACAATCTAGTCATTTCTCCTAGTGTGATCAAATTCAGTAATCTTAGTTTTAAATTTTAATGACAAATTGAATATCTGATTAGATTAAAAAATGAGATATTCATGCATTGTCATTAAATATTGATTGTCTTCATATATTTGGGAATGAAATTGATGTGTTAGAAATGGGTAAAATTTTAGTTACAGCATTTGCCCCAAACCCACAAACAACTATTGTAAACTGAATAAAAGCTTATAATTCAAACTAAATTTCCAGATCTTGGGTAAACTTGTGGAGAAACAGAAAGCAGAGTCATCCGTGGAACCATCCTAAATCCAGCAGTCCATTTCCTCCTACCAGCAACAATTCTAACTCCTACTGCAAGGCCAGTAAAGTGTACAGCACCAGTCATGCAATCATTCACCTCTGACTGCAGAATCAATCATGCAATCATTCACCTCTTGACTGCAGAATCAATCATGCAATCATTCACCTCTGACTGCAGCATCAATCATGCAATCATTCACCTGTCACTGCAGCATCAATCATGCAATCATTCACCTGTCACAGCAGCCTCAATCATTCATCTGTGGTTGTTGCTGTTCTATCCCATCTTTGACTCACAGATTTAATTAATCCAGATAACACCTCAGTTATCAGTCATTAAGGATAAAGGAAATATCATCCAGTTAAAACCTGTTCAAGAGAACACCCAAGGTCATTACTAGAAAACTTGTGTAGATCAAACACAAGAAAACAAGATCAAACATGTACAGTTACTTAAAAGATTTAAAAGACCCCATAAGATCAAAGATCTACACAAGAGAACAAAGTCCTTACAATAGATCAAAATAATCCTCCAATGGTGTATTTTTGCTGTTACTTCAGTCCTTTGTTTAGAAGTAAATTAGATGTCAACATTTTAGATTGTGAGCACTTAGTGTGCATATAATAGCACATACTATTTTTATAAATACAAGAAATGTTATTTGTATTGGTTTATATAATTTTTCTGTCGATTTTTATCATTGATATTTATTTTATGTACAGTTTTGTAACAAACAATTTAAAAAATGTGTAACTTGATGTGAACAAACATGAGTCACCCAATGTAGAAACTTGTTTGTCATCTTACTACTGCCAGGGTTCACTGGGCAACAAACACCCCCACCACTTCATTTTCAGCAAGGGAAATCACTCTATCTTACCCCAATATGTAATGTAGGGAATGTTTTAATAAATAAATAGTTGCAAACAAAATTAAAATAGCAGTGAAGTTTATGTATTTTATTAGTCTTATGAATTTTTTTACACGGAAATAAAATATTTAATTTTATATGAAAGTTGATGCAGTATATTCTGTTTCTTCTGCGACATATTGAAATACAAACTTGAGCTAATCTGTAGCTTTGAACTTTCCCATGACTTATCTGTACAATCTCCTACAAGAAATGTTAACTGTAACTGTAGTGTTAAAGGCAATAATAGTTAATATTTTTCTGTTTTGTTTACTTTTAATGGGTGCCAAACATTGAGTGATGTTGCCAATTTGACCAATCACTTGTGTTTCATCATCACATTCTCCATCACACATCAAACCATTCATACGCCTTTTATTGTGTGAAAGATTATTTCATTTCATTTTTTTAAATATAAAAACAGCTATGCATTGTTGTAAAACGTGTGAATATTTTTTAGAAGACTAAAACTACATATTCATATTCCTTTGTAAATGTATGACTTACTTGCAATCTGAAAAAAAAATTTTTTTCAGAACTGTTTATTTTGGCCTGTTATTGACCATTGTAAATGTTTTTTTCTTACATCTTTACTTTAAAAGAGGTGACAGTTTTTAAATGTGTATGGGTGACTTTTCATCATCTATTCATTTCATTATTTAATTTTTGCCAAATTAACACATTTTTTTTTTTTAAATTTGACACCAGTTTTGTGGTGCTATATGTTCCCATATAGATCTTATAGGCTGTATAATCTCTGGTGTACCTGTTTGTGAACTTACAGTAAAGAGATGTTGGCCTATGCAATCTGTTGCCTGGTTGACATTACATTTGTACTTGATTCTTTTTGATGCTACAATCTAGTGGCCAAATGTGTATAGATATTAACTGTTTTATAGAAGTTTGTTTTATGATAGCTAGTACATTCCTATAAAATGATCCTAAAGTCTAGGGTTAGTACATTTCAGTTGTGTAACCAAAGAATGTCTGTCATGCAGTGGAGAGTGGCGTACAGCCTCGGACTATTGTATATTGTGACATCAGTAAACCTGTATGTACGCAGTTCTGCTTGTCTCATAAGGGTAATCATTAAAGCAATTCTAATAATTTTAAAGAATGGGGTGGGGTAGGGGGCTAATAGTAGTCTCGATTAAATTTTATTTAACTTTATTTTAGTACTATTTTATCCATTTTCTTTTCGTATAGTTGGATAAATAACTTGAAAACCAAAACATAGTCTGCTTTTTACATCTGGGGAATTAGTTTCTGTTTTTCATCAAATTTTGTTTTGACAAACAGTTGTAACAGTTAACTCAGCTGATTTAATTCAACTAGATCTAAGCCAACTGCACTAGATCTTAGCCATCTGAAGCTGATAGGCTTGAAACAGATCTTACCCATTTGAAGCTGATAGGATTGAACCAGATCTTAGCCATCTAAAGCTGATAGGATTGAACCAGATCTTAGCCATCTGAAGCTGATAGGCTTGAAACAGATCTTACCCATTTGAAGCTGATAGGATTGAACCAGATCTTAGCCATCTAAAGCTGATAGGATTGAACCAGATCTTAGCCATCTGAAGCTGATAGGCTTGAAACAGATCTTAGCCATCTGAAGCTGATAGGCTTGAAACAGATCTTAGCCATCTGAAGCTGATTTGATTGAACCAGATCTTAGCCACCTGCTAATGTTGTGAAGCCCAAGATGTGTATAGCTGTAACTGTTATCTTGTACAGTATTATGATCCACCATTGTATTGGAGTGTCACAAGTTCATTATATGTGATCCATGCACAACATAGCCGCCACTAGAGTCCTCTAGTACATCACCCTGTTTAAATAGTGTTACAGAATTATGATACCCACACAGGCAAATAAACATTTTCTTCGATGTGCAATCCTTTACATACATGCAACACAATGTTAGCTAATACTTAGCGAAACTATACCAGGTTACACAGCTTAGTTGTGTACCTACAGTTAGTGTGTAATGGTGATGTTACAGGTACCCTAAACTTACATTTGGTCGGCACAAATTTTGTTCCTTGCTTCATTAATGCTGACAATGCTTTATAATGTGTTAGCTTTAAATATTTCTTGTAAGGTGTGACTAGCTGTATGAGGTAGAAAATTGTCCTAAAGAAAGACCAACAGTTTTAGGATTATCTTTAAAAATTCGGGCCTTATCCAGAGGTGTAGCAACCCATTTTGGTGCCCGGGGCGAGCTTTCAATTTTGCATCCATTTCCCTCCCATAATTATTCATGTTGAAGAAAAAGTCAGTTAACATTTATCTCCATATAACACCAGTAATATAGAAAACTGTTGTTTTAGCCCAAGTAGCATTCTATTTACTTTATTTCAACTTTAATGCAGCTCGAAGAGAGCTTTTTATTTTATTTTTCCATACAACTTGGCACCCCCTTAGGGTCGGCAACTGCCCCAACTGCCCTCCCCTAGCTACGCCTCTGGCCTTATTAATAGTAGTCATAATGCTGAGTGCGTCTTTGATATAACTATAACAAATTGTTAACAGGCGTTCCAGACAGTAAGTTTCCCTTGGAGCACATCCCTGATTCATGCAACCTAGTTCTTAGCTTTAATGTTTCTTATAGTTTGTTATTTTTTACTCTAGTGTTCATTGTTTCTTTTTTTCTCTGTTGCCTCACTAAAACTATTGTATTTAAATAATCCATGACAAAGACTTTGAACTTGGGCGTAGACCGTGTATGTACATTTCTTTTTCTGATGGTGTTACACCGCTGATTAATTTGTACATAAATTATTTTTGTAGCTTAGGGGTTTTTAATGTACTTATTTTTTAAAACAATATTTAAGTCATAGTGTGTTATTTTTTGTCCTATTTATTTTTAGTAGGCTGCTAGAAAAAAATGTAAGAGTGCAAAGTTGCAAAATAAGATTCTAGATCTCAAGACAATTATCACCTATTTCGCAACTTGTGGAAAAATATTTTTAAGTTACAGAGTTAAAATGTAAAATCACTAACAATTATAGAATATTGCACACACCAATAATTCCACCAAAAGGTATATTCTTATCTTTGTATCTATAATTAACATTGTAACTTCTCATAAGATCTGGAGTACTAGGCTATTCTCTACATGTATTGCGATGTATTGTATGTGAAAAGCTCCCTGCTAGAATATTCTTTGATTTTCAGTATTTTGTCACCAATTTGTTCTTTACCAAAGAAAAATATCCAACATTAGGGGCGTCAAAATGTGCACCAGTGTAGCCCATTATACATTACCCTAAAGTGATGAAGTTTCCATTGTAATTTACTTTTCCTAAGTCAGTTTATACTTCAAGTTAGGGCAATATATTTTATGCAAAAGAAAATTATTAGATCAGGTGTTTCTTAAAAATTATTGGACTAGTAGACATTAAGGTTCATTTTTTAAACATGTATAGAAAGATGTATCAAACCAACCTCCAAATAACTTTCCTCTAAAAAATATTTTTTGACATGTTATAGCACGAGTGTCATTTTATTAAATAGTGTAATTATTAAATGACAAATACCTTTTCATGTAGGATTCCAGAATTTGTGTGTAATAAGGACCTATATAAATTGAATTTTACTAGCTTAACACTACAACTGTAATATCGTTGTTATACATCTTTGAATGTTATACAACTGTATGTAGGGTATTTGTAAATAGCACGTCTTAGGTTGCTGGACAACACACAACTTACTACTGAACAAATGATCGCACATCGACCAGTTTTTTCTTTCAATATTATCTAGAAGTTTGGTGTACATTTCTTTAGTGTGAACCCTAGGTATTACCATATCTGTTGCTGCCTCATTCAGCCAGTATGTTGATGTACATAGAGCTCAAAGATATCTGTGTACACTGTCAATCTGATGTATATTTAGGTCTGTATATGTCTGTTACCTCAGCCTTTTCAATGTTACAATTTCTTTGTCTATGCTGGATGTTACATTTTTAAAAGAGAAATAAAAAGATAATGGACAACCTAGACTGCATTGCTATTTATTTGCAAAGCTACAAACATTACAAACTAGAGTACATTTGTTCTGCATTTTTAGTTTTATTAAAATCATTTTCAAAAAGTGGCTACATCAGAAAGTTTTGACATACAAGAAATACAAACTGAGCCTAAAAAGTCAAAACTTAAATTTGATTTGTAATTAAATACTATTTTAGCATGACCAAATATCTAACAAGGCTTCGAGATAAAGCCAGTCCAACAGCACACACCATGCCTTCGGATGGCATAGTTATAATCACATCCTCAACACAAGATAAAAATCTCTGCGCCACCCTGAACAAGGTGTACAGATTAATACTCAACACAATTATAAATTAAGACCATTCATAAAATTTGCTTATATAATGTTAAATTGCATTGTGTATCATAACAAAATCACCTTAAAGAAATAATTATCTCCAGCCTCTGAAGTAAATGTCAATTTAATGAAAGAATAATCAAATCAGTAGCGCTCTATTTAAAATTTTTCAAACAAATTTACTATAAGAACAATGTAGCTTAGCTTTCCCAGATAACTATACGACTCATACCCAGTCACACAGCATCCACAACACCACTCGACCATTCAAAAAAGTATGTACACATATATGGAGCCAAACCAGGCAGAAAAATCATCCACACACCTCTTGCACAACATACTGCTTGTTCCCACAAGTTCCTCTCCGGATGCCGGTGCAACTATGCAGAGGGAACATTTCTCCAGTGTTTGTGGGGAAAGGCCAAAGAGACTTGATTTGGACAGAAACAAACACACAATTTCTTCAAAAACCGTGGACCTGAAAAACAAGGACACCAATTTTTTAACAGAAAAAATACTTATGTACATGTACAATAGTATTATATAAAATATATCAATATAAACATTTTTTAAAAAGGATAAGATAAGAATAGGAAGATGGTAAGAATAATAGACAGCTGCAGATGGCACACAAGAAATGAGAAGATTAACTGTTGATTCTTAGTGTCAAAAGTGATGGAGTAAATGCTCATTCTGCTCTTCTCCAATGAGGTCAACATTATCACCCAGCTGTTCAAACACTTGGGACAGTCAAAAATGTCTTGGTGCCAGAGGTAACTTTTATGTAAGAAGTCTGTCTAATATCCTCAAGAACATGCACGCTAAAGAAAAACACAAGTGCCAACTTACTTTGATTTGCTCATTGGTTGCTATTCCAACTTTGATGAGCAAACTCCTGATATGATCACGCTGATCTCCCTGTAACTGAATTACTTCACCATATTCAGGATGTTCAACAACTGTACCGTTGCAAGCAAACTCCTGAAATTTACAATAATTAACTTTAATACTACACAAGACTCACAACATCACACCAAAAAAAGTGGGAAAATGTCAACCAAAATAGGAGAGAGTGGTTGGATAATTGAGGGCACAACTGCTGAACCAAAAGTCTGGAGTTTGGATCCAGACTCAAGGCTGTAAATGTCCATTGATGCCAGTGCTGATGGATACCTGACTCTCTTTAGTGCTCACCTACACAATCATTTCATATACAGAGATCGTGGAGAAAGATGCTGTTTTTCATCTGCTTCACTGATCCCCACATCCAAAAGGGTAATTTTTTAAAAGCATAAAGTATTTTTATAACGCTACTATATACAACTATACATTTGACTGGCAGATAATGAGTATTAAACATACTAACTTTTTTGGCTGCCTTGACAATTTTCTTAAAATCATACTTTGGGTCAACACCCTGGACTGTGGTTAGCGTCTTACGACCATTTCTTTGCTGGATACGGATGTGAATAAGTGATCCTTGAATTCCCGGGGCTCCACCAACTCCTTCACCAGTGTCAGCAAATGGATCTATAAACATAACAAATGCAGATTGAAAAGAAACAAGTTAATAAAAAGTCTAGTGACAATTTAAGCGCAATTTCCTTATGTTATCCATAACAATTTTTAATTTTTTGTGACCGAACGAAAGGATATTTTTTGCGCTAAAAAAAGACAACTATATTAACCTATATCAACGGAAATAGTTTTATTTTAACGAGTAGACCTACAAGATGCTCAGTTTTAAAAAAAAAGTAGTAAATATCATCCTAGGCCTACACGATGCTCAGTTTAAATGTTCTTAATTAATTTTTTGTGACCGAACGAAAGGATATTTTTGAAAACTTTCTTCGACAATATTGGTCTAAATTATGGCAGGAATCGATTGGTAAATGTTTCAAGTCGCTAAGTGGTCTGGTTGCCGAGATATGGACCAAAAACTGCATTTGTTCGAGGATTTTTGGCTTTTCCAGGAAATCCAGGAAGGAATTCCGGGAATTTTTTGGGCCCACAATCATCCTTGGAACTTGCTTAACATATTTGCTTTTGAAACTAGTCCTCGATATTGCTTCATTGAGGAGATACGACCCCCCAGATATAAATTGCATATATCTCATCTAGGTAATCGGTAAAATGCTAGATGTGAAACGGCTAAATGATAATAAGCGAGACGAGAAGGCTGCAAAAACAGCATGTCACTGGACACTTATGTCTCTCATTTTACCACTACCAGAATGGTAGGCTTGGTAGGGGTAAATTGCACTAATAACTGCAAAAATTTTACCCCACCCGAATTTTCAATGTGCCGATGATTTATTTGATGCAGCCTTAATTTTTAAATGCATTATTCAAATATAAATGTAGCCATTCCGCAGCAAACATAGATATTCTATTATATTAGGCCTATTTTAAATAAATTAATAAATATGAAATTTTTTTTTAACACACCCAAAGTTTGGTAAGGAGTGAACAACTTATTTTTTTATTGTGTTGATGATTGAACAACTTCTTACCATTGATTCGACTTTGAATACTAGCTAGTTGTTCAAAGAGCCGAACACACCATATTTAAAATTTGCTTAGCCTACTTTTTATAATAAAGTAGAGCTAGCCTATAACCTTTAAAAATTTTGACCATTTTAATTTAACTTTAATTAGTTCTAAATTTTCTACTGATTGGTTTTATTAACTTTAATTAGTTCTAAATTTTCTACTGATTGGCTTTATTAAGCATGGTAGAAGACCTAATAGCTTATGAGAATTCACAATGATCCCAAAGTACATTTTACATACTACTTGGTTTGGGGAAAAATTATAAGTGAGCCAATGGAAATCTCAGCTAACATGCTTTGGCATATGGTGCAGGGCTGCTTATTTCTAAACAAATATGAACTCACTGTGACCCCAAAACAAGTGTTGGGATTTTTCTAATGCTGACAAGAAAACATGAGCTTGCAAAAACGTTACTTCTCGCACATCTCGAGAAAAAAGTCTCGCCATTTACCCAAAACTATGCAGAAATGTCTAGCATTTTACAGCCTCACCATTTCGTATCTTGTACTTTATCAGGACCCGGCATATCTTCTAAAAAATCTAAGTCATCTCCCGTTGAACACATATTTAAAAAACGGATGATTTTAGATAGGCCTACAGATGCCCAATAAATAGACTACCAAAAATAGATGTGTTGGGTTGCTAGTAGTATTGTAATCTCGACTAATTTTATGGTATCGTAGGATGAGGGTTGGGGTTAGATTCTGTTATCTGACACTGGTATAAAAATTCCCTCTAAAAACTAATCGAGAGGTCTATGCTAACTGGACGGGGGGGGGGGGGGGGGGGGGGGGGGTTACCAGATTAATCAGACATTCTAGGATTCTAGATCAGTAGATCTAGATCTGATTCATTTTACTGAATTTTGTTTCCTAAATGATCTAGATCTAAATGCCTCAAAGTTAAAACATCTTTTAAAATACTAGCCTGACCCAGAATCAAATGTTATCATATCAATCAAGTTATCAGCTGGTGTTAATTTTTCTAAATCTAAAATACTAGAATCTAGATCTAGATCTGATTATAAAAATAAAGCAGTGGTCGAGTATTCAAATCTAAGGCTGCATCGATTATTATAGAATTTCTGCTGTCTAGATATAGAGTCTACTATAAAAACGCAGTAGACCCAGGAATCTACAGACTTGCTAAACTAGACTGAAAATAGGCCGTGTCATACAGTCAAACAAAATGTGAATTCTTCACACTGGCTGCAATAAAAGCAAAAGACCTATTCCGTCGTTTAAAATAGTAATACTCACTAAAAAATGTATTATCCATCTTTTTTAAAAGGTAATATAATTTATACTTTATTAGGCAAAAACTTAGTTATGTTTATTAAGAAAGTTCTTAAATATTGTACTGAAAACAGTATGGTTTTTCAACTTTCGATAAGATCCACGTTTAATGGCTACAGACAGAAAAGGAAGTTGTGACCTACTTTTACTGGAATTTTAAGTTTACAGAACAAAATAGACAAGTACAAATAATGGCTCATAAATAAAACATATTACAACGACAATAGAGTTTTGTAAAAAAAAATTCAATTATAGTCTATCAATTCGTGGTGAAAATTTATTCTAAAATTGGACTAATTTATAGCGCGCAATGAGCTAATACAATTATCAATGACACAGAGACTTCCTCTTGCACTATTTACCGAGCTTGCCAGATCAATATTTTTAAAAACATTGTTAAGCAACTATTTTAAACATAAAACGATTTCCTAATTAAAATCTAATAAAAAAAAGAGTTCCAGTGCAACAATTTATTTTTATACGCCTAACCCTAATTTCTAACCATCAAATTAGTCGAGATTAAAATACTACTAACAACCCAACACACCTAGATTTCTAAATCTAATTACTAAATAATCCACATGCACAATGCCTTATTTGCTATGTACTATATATAAAGCTCAATTCTGTATGTAACATGTAATAAGTTTGTTTGTCGTGGACATACTTTAATGGATTTAAGTGTTAGATTATTATCGTGCTCATAATCTAAATTTATGAGTTAAAAAATTACTATTGAAAGTGTTGGGAAATAATTTTCATTTTTCAAACTGATAGTAATAATTGTCGGCATGTTCATTTAACACAATTTTTAAAAAGTATCATCTTTTACAAAAATTCTAATTATGTCTGAAAATTATTTATATTTAGTCCTTTAGCACTTACTTCCCTTTGATAAATTAGGAAAACACAATTACTTCCCTTTATAAAACATTGCATTAGTGGAAAATAATTTACTTTTTATTACTTTGTTTTGGTGTTAGGAAAAAAATAATTACATAATTAGCGGGGATTGATCAAGTGCAAATGTTGTAGGTATTTTACGGTTAAGATTGGAGTATTATAATTGTTCATTAAATTGAAACAGGCGCGTCCGCCGGCGCCCCACCAGGGTTCAATTTGGCGCTCTGGGCTATCCTGTGAGCGCTATGGTGCATAATTTCGCTTTAAACAGTGCGATAGAGTATGGATAAGAAAGGTTACTATAGTCTTTAAGTGAATCGAATCCGGGCTTCCTCTGGCGCCCAGACAGGGTGCTATTTGGGGCCCCGGGCCTCCCGTGTTTGGTTTGGCGCCTACGTTCGTTTAAGTGAGTGCAAAAGACTACGAATAAGTTGGGGTACTATAGTCGTTTATTAAGCTGAAACAGCCGATTCCGCCTCGGGCTAGACTGTGAGCACTTTGCGTTTATGTTCGCGTTAGTGTTTTCTTTGTGTTTAGGTTGGGTTTGCGTTAGTGGTTGCGTTTTGATTTGGTTCGTTTTTGTTCTTTCATTTTTCGTTTTCGTTTGAGTTTTTATCTTTGGGTTTGTATTTGTGTTTGTGGTTGGTTTTGCGTTTGGATTTGGTTTGTTTTCGTTTTCTTTTTCATTTGTGTTTTTTTCTTTGGGTTTGTGTTTGTGGTTGGTTTTGCCGACTTTTTCGAATACCATTAACTGCGTTCAGTGGGGTGGAAGATAAGCCTAGTGAGAACTGAAGGACAGAAGCGACAGATACACGGCAATCAAACCGATATCTAAGCCAGTTAGATTGAGTTAGCCGTGTTGAGACCAGCCTGGCTAATGGGAGTCACCCCCTGAGCCGGTGATGTCCGTATAGAAAAATAAAAGTCAACTGCTTCTCAAGTGGATTGGGATAGTCCTATATTTTTGTTTTTTAATAACTAATGTTATTATTCTGGCGAAATAAGTGTATGTTTTTATGTGAACAAATATTATTTCATATTTAAAGATATTTATTTTAAATAACAAATCAAATTTATTTAGCTAACCCGAATTAAATAAAACAAGGTAATTAAAAAGTCTAGTGACAATTTTAGCGCAATTTCCTTATGTTATCTAAAAATAGCTCTGTAGTAGCGTAAATCAATAGCAGGGTTAGTAAAACCATTGGTTAGTTATTAAAACGTTTTTTGTTAATTTTTTTTCAGTATTTTACATGTTTTATTTACAATAGAGTTACATGACTAAAAACCATTGCGCGCCTAGCTACTGAACGTGATGGCGCAGCTATTGAACGTAATGACGCGTGTGGTGTGGTTGGAAAAAATGCCTACTAATTCGGTCCAAATTTTAATTAATTCAAAAAATTTTTTGTGACCGAACGAAAGGATATTTTTGAAAACTTTTTTCGGCAATATTGTTCTAAATTATGGCAGGAATCGATTGGTACATGTTTCAAGTCGCTAAGTGGTCTGGTTGCCGAGATATGGACCAAAAACTGCATTTGTTCGAGGATTTTTGGCTTTTCCAGGAAATCCAGGAAGGAATTCCGGGAATTTTTATGGCCTATGTTCATCCTCGTAACTTGCTTAACATAATTGCTTTTGAAACTAGTCATCGATATTACTTCGTTGAGGAGGAGATACGACTTAAAGCTGCGGACACACATCCATCCATCCATTCATACATCCAGAAATGACGGGTTAATAAACGCAATTCTCCAGAATGGAAATTGCGCTAAAAATATTGAAAAAAAAATTGTTAGTGGCTCTTTGAAAACTGCGAAATTTTGAAAAGTGTAACGAATGACTCTTCCGTCTCAAAAGGTTGCTGACCCCTGATATAGGCTAAATGTTTTTTTTTTGTGCGTTTTTTTCCAGCGGTGTGCTGTCTGTGGATTTTGATGGACTAGGATACTAACGTAGGTAATACAAAACACAGTTGTATTTTGATACATTGGTATGTGACGTCGTTTAACTTGCGGCACATATCTCGTCAGGTACAGGTTCGGAACCCATGTCGTCATTGTAAATGTCTTTTGCTTTATCCTTTTATTTTAACACTCGACACAGAACCCCCTTCCTCCTCCCCCTTCTCAGCTAGTCCCTGATTGTAAATCTCACCACACTCCGCTGCTTATTTTATATTCTTGATTTGCGTTGCGAAAATCGGACAATTTTCTCCCGTTAATTCTCAGATGTGGTGCAGTTAAGTCCAGCCACCCACTTCTTCTCTCAAACATAATCAAGTAGGGCTTAAACCATCAAAACAATAGAAATAGTGCAAAAAATATTTTTATAGAACATACTTATATGGTAAAATATATCGTATCTGACCTTTGTTTAATGAGTCTAGCCATTACACAATAAATCTATTACGACAGCAAAGATAATATTTTATTTCACAACGGACGGGGTATATCATCGTCTAGTTAATGTTCAAGTCTGCTGTTACAGAAATAAAACCTAGTCCTAATTGATGATTCTGTTAGTGAAAGTTAACAATATTCTGTTACTAATAGTTTAATGTAGGCCTCAGTAAAAGGGGAAAAAAACATAGACTTAATACTAAGAGAAACTATCAACAATGTTCTGAAGTTTTTAAAATGTTCGCCCCCGAAAGGTATACACTTTCAAGGAGAAATTTTAAACGGTGGCAATGGAAAATTACTAATTACTAATTGATACATTAGGTTGTCTGATAATTTGCGATGGCTAATTGGTCTGTCTGCGACTTTAGCTCAATTAATAGATACTATTAATTAACGCGAGTTGCCAACCATAGGTGGATTTAGTGGTGTATTAAAAAAAAGTTTGGTTTTGTAAAGTTAATTTACAATTTACGTAAGTAACATTTATATATACATACATACATACACACCACCAAAAAAAAAAACAGTCTGCGATATAATCGTAAGTTTGAAAGCGGACTTTAAACCCCAAACAAGAAGTAGGAGTAAAAGATTTGGAATTATAGCCCACATGTAACTAAAATTTCAGTCTTACATTTCAGATCATGCACTTTTTTTAATTAGCTACTGACTTTTTGTGTTCTTTAAAGATAATTTTTTGACATAATGAGAAGGTACGGGTTAGATCACTGTATTACTCACACACCTTTTACTGGTAATTTCAAAAACAATATTCACAGAGATTTACGTTTCAAATGTATCGACCAAAGATAATTTTTTAACAAATCAATGTTTAAAACTGAGTTTAAAAAGTTTCCAAAAAGGCGCCACTTTGCTAAAAATCGCCAGAGGGGGAGCGGCCGCTCCCCCTGCTCCCCCCCCCCCCCCTGCGTACGCTACTGGTCTGTGGTGACACCAACTTTAAAGGAAGTAAAATTTAATGCCAAAAACGTTGTATCCAGTTATACAATAAAATAGTTGTAGGCGAGGGGTGACTATATCAAAAATGGTAAATTGTTGGATGAGATATGTTGACACCCTCAGCTACTACACGGGCTAAGAACATTCCTAATGACGCCACTAGCAGAGACTCCTGTTTCAGACACTATAGTTTTGTTTTTTTCTCACCATAAACAATTGCGCAAATGTTGCTTCCAAGGGCGCGAGAGTGTAATGGATCTCTATTGACGTCAGACCCAGTAGGTAAACAGATATACTGTCTGGATTTAGAGTACACCATTATAAAAAAAATGAAATAAACACCCACTCAAACATACATAAAGTATTTTCATAAGTACTCATCATATGGGATGGGGGGGGGGGAGATTAAAAAGCTGCCAAGATTTAGGAAAATGCCTTTAATTAAAAGCCGGATAGGTGAAGCTCATGGTTGCCATGGTTTCTTCAAGGCATCTACCGCGCCTCCGACGAAATGGAAAGTTATATAGAAAATATATAGTTTCACCAGTGTCCGCTCCCCCCCCCCCTCCCTTGGAGCAAAAATGTGGAAGAAACACTGATGGTTTTTTTTTTTTTTTAGCGCAATTTCCATTCTGGAGAATTGCGTTTATTAACTCGTCATTTCTGGGAATGGATGGATGGATGGATGAATGTGTGTCCGGGCTTTAAGTCGTATCTCCTCCTCAACGAAGCAATATCGATGAATAGTTCCAAAAGCAATTATGTTAAGCAAGTTACGAGAATGAGCATAGGCCATAAAAATTCCGGGTTTCTTTCATGTATTTCCCGGAAAAGCCAAAAAACCTCGAAAAAATTCAGTTTTTGGCCCATATCTCGGCAACCAGACCACTTAGCGACTTGAAACATGTACCAATCGATTCCTGTCATAATTTAGAACAATATTGCCGAAGAAAGTTTTCAAAAATATTCTCTCGTTCGGTCACAAATTTTAAAATTACATCAACACCTACAAACCGATTGTTCTTCTAGCTTGAACGCACCCCAACATTATACGTCAGAGCTATTTTTAGATAACATAAGGAAATTGCGCACAAATGTCACTAGACTTTTTTAATTAACTTGTTTTTTTTTTAGTATTTAATTTCAACGAATTTTGATGGGTTATTTACAACTGGACAAACCTGAACGTACCACTGTGTATTTTGGCCATGTTTGTGTAGTCAATACAAGTCAGAGATCACGCAAAGTTCTAATAAGATTTAGATTCTGTATTTATTTGCCAATGTTATGATCTCGATGTAGAGATTAATACACTGTAACGTTAAGGACAACAACGAAATACTGAACGCAGGGAAAGCCAAGAAGAGTTATGGGAAATGGGAATATTCTAAAAATTTATAAAATTATTTTGTTAAAATTAGATTAAATCATGGGTGTTGTTTTTATTTTTTAATTTTATTTTTTTTAGCGTGGTTTAATTGGGTTTTTTTTTGGGCATAATATAATAGTAAATACAAATGTATGTTTATTAAGCGTTATTAGTTTATTATTTTAATATACCAACTATTTTATCATTCTAAGACTCTGAAAATAGTGAAATAATAACTAGAAATAAATATAAGTTATTTGACATAGTAGCGAATCAAATGTGATAGTATCAAACATGTAGTTGTATGCTAATATTGATGGATGTACAAAATGATATCTGATAGGGTACCAGCATTTTGTTTAATTTTCAATTACTTCCAACACACGAAGTCAGTAATTAAGTCTTAATTACAATACCAATCCTGACGGTTCAATTAAAATGCTAATTAAAATCCATTTCCAGCTCAATTACGAACGATTCCATCACTCCGTTATTGGGGCATTAAAACACCACCTTTTTTAGTTTAAAGTTGAGTCTCCTGGTAAGGTCTAAAAGTGACATTCTTTTTATTATGAGAGGGGCGAGGGGGAAATCAAAACCACCGAGTCACAAGATTATATAGTAGTACGTTAAGTTTACAGTACTAAACGTTTTGAACAGCCGAGGATTAATAAGATGCACGCATAGTTTTTATATCTCCATCCGACTACAGGATGATATAACGAGGTCGGAGTAGTTTAGGCGGAGCAACCCAGCGATTATATTCTGGAGATAATAATCCTAGGCTAAGAGAGCTAGAGTAGACTGGGAGAGATAGACTAGGAGGGATAGACTAGAAATTACAGATTATTAAGGACAGACTAGGAAGGATAGATTAGGATAGACTAGGAGGGATAGAATAAAAGCGATGAACAAGATGGGATAGATTTGGAGGGACTATAAGGGATAAACTCAGAGGCGTAGCGAGGAGTGGGGTGGGGGCGGACCGCACCGGGTGACACCATTTAGGGGGGTGTCACCAAGGCAAAAAATAGTAAAATATATAGAGAAAAATTTGACGGGGGGGGGGGGGGGGGGTGCAAATCGAAAGTTTGAAGGGGGGGTTGCAAATCGAAAATTGAAAGTTTGTCCCCGGGAAGAGTCGCTACGCCTCTGGGGAGGGGGGTGACACCAATAAGTGCCGCACCGGGTGACACCCGACCTCGCTACGCCACTGGATAAACTAGAAGGGATAGACTAGGTGGGATAGACTGGGAGGGATAGATTAGGGTAGACAAAGAGGGATACACTAAGGGGTATAAAATAGGAGAGATAGATTAAGAGGGATAAAATAGAAGAGATAGACCAGGTGGGATAGACTTGAAGGGATAGACTAGGAAGGATTGATTAGGATAGACAGAGGGATAGACTAGGCGAGATAGGGATAGAGTAGGAGGTATAGATTTGGTGGGATATATTAGGAAGGATATACTAGAAAGGATAAACTAGGACCGATATAGTTGGAGGATTTGACAAGGAGTAAACTGTAGTTTATGAAGACGTGCATAATGGGCCAACTCTCAGGAATGCCGAGGCTGAAAGAGTTAAACCCTAATCTCATCTACATCGTAATCCTGGCCATAATCCTAACATTAATCCCAAAAAAAAACCACTTTATTTTAATCCTGAAGCAGCAAGCTTCTACATTCATCATAATGTTAGTAAAATAATTGTCAAGTGCAGTGGTATAGGGTAAGCTGTTTATTGATCCAAGGACATTGTAGTTGTTTAATTAATTCAAACGTTGAGATGTGTATCGATGGTGTTGGGTCATAGGTGGATCCCACTCTATGTTGGTGAGCACAAGGTGGATCTGTATGTGTGTTGATGAGCATGCAATGGATCCCACTCAATGTTGATGAGCTGTGGATCCCACTCTTTGTTGGTGAGCAGTGGATCCCACTCTTAGTTGGTGAGCAGTGGATCCCACTCTGTGTTGGTGAGCAGTGGATCCCACTCTGTGTTGGTGAGCAGTGGATCCCACTCTGTGTTGGTGAGCAGTGGATCCCACTCTGAGTTGGTGAGCAGTGGATCCCACTCTGTGTTGGTGAGCAGTGGATCCCACTCTGTGTTGGTGAGCAGTGGATCCCACTCTGTGTTGGTGAGCAGTGGATCCCACTCTGTGTTGGTGAGCAGTGGATCCCACTCTGTGTTGGTGAGCAGTGGATCCCACTCTGTGTTGGTGAGCAGTGGATCCCACTCTGTGTTGGTGAGCAGTGGATCCCACTCTGTGTTGGTGAGCAGTGGATCCCACTCTGTGTTGGTGAGCAGTGGATCCCACTCTGAGTTGGTGAGCAGTGGATCCCACTCTGTGTTGGTAAGCAGTGGATCCCACTCTGTGTTGGTGAGCAGTGGATCCCACTCTGTGTTGGTGAGCAGTGGATCCCACTCTGTGTTGGTGAGCAGTGGATCCCACTCTGTGTTGGTGAGCAGTGGATCCCACTCTGTGTTGGTGAGCAGTGGATCCCACTCTGTGTTGGTGAGCAGTGGATCCCACTCTGTGTTGGTGAGCAGTGGATCCCACTCTGTGTTGGTGAGAAGTGGATCCCACTCTGTGTTGGTGAGCAGTGGATCCCACTCTGTGTTGGTGAGCAGTGGATCCCACTCTGTGTTGGTGAGCAGTGGATCCCACTCTGTGTTGGTGAGCAGTGGATCCCACTCTGCGTTGGTGAGCAGTGGATCCCACTCTGTGTTGGTAAGCAGTGGGTCCCACTCTGTGTTGGTGAGCAGTGGATCCCACTCTGTGTTGGTGAGCAGTGGATCCCACTCTGTGTTGGTGAGCAGTGGATCCCACTCCGTGTTGGTGAGCAGTGGATCCCACTCCGTGTTGGTGAGCAGTGGATCCCACTCTGAGTTGGTGAGCAGTGGATCCCACTCTGTGTTGGTGAGCACTAAGTGGATCCCACTTTATGACACGCAACTTCTCAATTTAGAAGTTTCGACGATTAACCAGACGTAGAAATATCATTGGACATGTTTTAACTTAGCATTTTCTACGATAAACTATAATACTTCTTTTTGCAAAATCCGCCATGTTTTAATTAATTTGTGTTAATTAGTAGTTAAATAATCGATGAACAAGTTTATCAAATAGTCCGACCTAATACACTGAGTAGGCTTGCCTGAATCTATAGGAAGAGGGATTGAATCAGGTAAACATTAAGTATACATTAGTATAGGTATATTATGTATAGGTATATTATGTATAGGTATATAATGTATAGGTATATTATGTATTATTTTATATAACATCATGCTCTTCTATAAATTAGTGATGAAATATAAAATGTAATAAATGAACTTATGTTGACTAAGCAACAAACTGAACGCTAACCTTAAGTGAACGATATTTTTTAAAGTAATCCGAAAACTCTCAGTGTTAATTAAAAGTGTGGTATAGTATATTAATTACCTGGTGTTAAAATCACCATTAACCTATGATATTCAATTAGAATAAAATGTAATACACTTTATATAAGTTTAGCATTGAATTATTTTTATTTAAATTTTCACATTGTTATAATAGCTTCCAGAATGTACCTGTGGATGTGCATACATCAAATTAGGTAGAAAAAAATAAGATAAAACATCATGTCTTTCTATAGCTCTACCATAAGAAAATGAGACAACTAGCTGTGATTGCTCTAGTGTGTGTTGTTCTGATATGCTACAGCAGCGTAACTTGTAACAAAGATGAATTTGGGTAAGAACTAAAGGCATCTTTATTTACATTTTTTCTACTTTATTTTAATCAGTGATTGTTCCTCCCTGTTATCTGTTCGGTATTGATTAATCGACACACCTCCTTGTACATACATACAGTACACAGTACATACACTGTACACTGTCCGAGTACACACTCCTATAGTACGTTCATCACCAAGTAAACACCCTCCAAATGATTCCCCACCCCATACTTATTTAGTCGATCCTTTCCCTGCGCCAACAATGAACTACTTGATTCAGAGACGTAGCGAGGGCGGGGGGGGGGGGGGGGGGGGGGGGGCAGGGGGTACAAATGTCCCCGGGCGCCGACCTTAGGGGGCGCCAAATAGGTTGTAAAAACAAATTAAAATGGCATTTTAGCTGCAATTTTTGCAGTTTGAGTGGGTGTGGGTGCAAATTGAAAGGTTGAGGGGGGGGGGGGGGGGGGGTGATGCAAATCGAAAGTTCGAGGGGGGGGGGTTGCAAATTGAAAATTTGCTCCCGTGGGGGCGCCAAATTGAAAGTTTGTCTCCGGGCGCCGGGAAGGGTCGCTACGCCTCTGACTTGATTGCCCTTTCCCCGCTAGATCTAGCTATGTTACATCCAGGGCGGACTGAGGTTCCGACCGAGACACCAGAAAAAATCCTGTGGGATCAGAGTTTCTTCCAGACATCTCTTCGGGGTCGTGTGTCCCCCCCCCCCCCCTTCTTGCCCCCCCCCCACGCGAACGAAATGAAATTTACATAGAAAACATATACTTTTACCAGAGTCAGCCCCACTCCCCCGGAAATTGTTGTCCGTACCCCCCCCCCCCCCCCCGGAGAAAAAAAAACCGCTTTGAGTCTTCCTGGTAATTTAATTATTAAAATATTTAAATCCATACGTTCAAAATAAATACAGTGTTTTACATCTTGACAGTCTATTTCGGTGTTCAAGAGAAGACTGTGAATCTCTGATATGCTGTCCTGGTTACTACTGCAAGTAAAGGAACTTTTAAAAACATTTTATTAACATAATTGATATTGGCCATACAAAAATACTACACACAGTAGACGAAATATGATGAAAATTCCCAGTGGCGTAGGCAGGGGGGAGGTTAGGGGGATCATACCCCATACCCCCCCCATAGACCCCTCGGTATATATATAAAGTATGATGGGGGGGGCAAATTGAAAGTTTAAGGGGGTGGGGGGGTGCAAATCGAAAGTTTGAGGGGGGTGCAAATCAAAAGTTTGAGGGGGGTGCTAATCGAAAGTTTGAGGGGGGGGGGGGGGGTTGCAAATCGAAAGTTTGTCCCCGGGTAAAAATTGGACCCCCCCCCCCCCTTGAGACGATCCTGGCTACGCCACTGAAAATTCCCATTTTGAACCTGACGGTCCATGGGGCCAGCGAAGAAGAGTTCACCTGTTTTTTGTAACCTTGGCATAAGTGTGGTCTGCACTATGCCCAGCCGCTTTGGCTTTCCCTAACCATAGTTAGGTACCCATCATAGCTGGGTAGACTCAGGAAATTTCTACTAATTTAAACCCGTATTCGAACTCGAGACTTTCGGGTTAGCTGCCTAGCGCTCTACCGCAATTCCACGCTGTTCCTTAAACATAAAGTAATAGCCCTACAAAATATTTTTGCTAAATAAGTTAACTTTTTTAAAAACCTATTTTAGATACTTAAAATTAGTAGGATAAACTGTTTGTATGCGTTTTATTTGAGTTTATATAAATAAAAATCATTAATTTGCAGAGAGCGTGAAGAAGGAAGAATGTGCGAAATTAGAGGACCAAGATGATGTGCCATTTACCTTGACGAGATCTTTGACACCATAGACAAATAAATATAAATAAATAAATGTAGGCTCTACATACAAATATCGTTATTACTTGAAAATATGAAAATCTGGAATAAATTTAGCATACAGACGCACATCATCTTTTCCTTTTGTGCCCAAGAAATATGGGGCCGCCACAGAAAGCTCCCTCCACTTTTGTCACCCTCCGGCAATTGCCTTGGCAATCCGCGAAGAGAATCCTGTCTCTCAGAGCGTAGCGACCCTTCCCGGCGCCCGGGGACAAACTTTCAATTTAACGCCAACCTCGGGAGCAAATTTTTAACTTGCACCCCCACCCCCAACTTTCGATTTGCACCCCCCCTCTCAAACTATTTATAATTTGTTTTTCCAATCCATTTTGGCGCCCCCTAAGGTCGGCGCCCGGAGACATATGTACCCCCCCACCCCCCTTTGCTACGCCTCTACTGTCTCTCCCAGCTACTTCCCCGCCGTGCGCTTCAACGTCTCTCTACCAGTAGCTTGTTATGTATTACCTCTAATCGGGTGTTAGCTTTCCATAATTAGCGATCTTCTTAGCTCTAAATTTTCTTATTCACAACCTTTCACTTAATTAATTGATTGTTATTTTCTAGTTATCTTCCTCTAGGTATTGAATATTAAAAACTAAAAAAAAAATGTTTTTTTTTTAATTTAGATTTTAATTAGATACTTTTTCGGTGTTATCAGAACGCACCTATCAAAATTTTTATTTTAAAATTATATTTCCCTTTGTAAAGGATTAAGATTAAGTTGGAAAGTATTATTCAAATCTAATCTACAACAAACAAACACACGGAAAGTGGTACAAGTGAAACAACGTTTAATTATAATATGCAGTGGGGAATGCGTGGTTGAGCATGAAAGCGTTATGATTTCTAAAGTCCCGGGTTCGGACCTCCAAACAAATGAAGCTCGTTAGATGGGGACAGCACAGAGGTGTAGCGACCCTTCCCGGCGCCCGGGGACAAACTTTTCGATTTGAACCCCCCCCCCCCCCCTCAAGATTTCGATTTGCACCCCCCCTCATGATTTCGATTTGCACCCCTCTCCCCTCAGCCTTTCAATTTATTTTTCCACCCCATTTTGGCGCCCCCTAAGGTCGGCGCCCGGTGACATATGTCCCCCCCCCCGCCCCGCCCCCCCCCCCCTCGCTGCGCTACTGGGACAGCAATCCGCTTAAGAGAGGGCATTTTAGGTCCCTTACAGATTGTTCTTGGGTGGACAAAGACTATGGGAGCAAATCCAAAAAGAAAATCTTGATGAAACCAGTTTCAATGTGAAATAAAGCGCATAATATTTCGACAAGTATTCAGAGGCGTAGCGACCTATTCCGCGCCCGGGGCGAACTATCAGTTTTTCCTCCCCAACCCCAATTTATAAATAGTTAATCACGTTGAATAAAAACCGCCCCACTCAACAGCTTTTATTTTAGTGTCACACAATTGATGTAGATAACAGTTAAATAAGTCCGTAAAGGCATGTGCAGTCTATTGTTTTTTAAACTTTGAGTGTAATTGTCAGAATGAGCTTTTCTTTTCTTTCTACCCCGTTTGGCGCCCCTCTATGGTCGGCGACCTGGGCGGGCGCCTCACCCACCCTCCACTAGCTACGCCTCTGCGCGTATTAATTGTGTTTGAGGAAATTTCATCCACATATTACAGTTATGAACGAAGAAGAAGAAGAAATTTAACGTTTTTAAAACAATGATCAGAAGTCTCCACAGCTTTTGTTAGTACTCATAAAAAGTTACAAAATCTATTTAAAGATATGAAGTCATCTTTTACCCCGTTGCAATGTACGTTTTTTTTTTTAAAAGCAGAGTCACAGATGAAAATCTATTGATAGCTTTGATTTCAGATAAAAAATGACGTCATGTCAAAGACTAGATTGGCCTGAGTTTATTTTTGTCGAGTTTTTGTGTCAGAAATTGCAGGAATTTATTTTAGTCCTGCTGTTCATTTCAGACCAAATTGTCAAAGCTAAATTTCATTTAATTTATCCACTACTGACGTCATTCAACTTGATTTATTTTTAGAATATTTAAGTACATTATACTTTATAAATCGGAGTAAAAATAAATAGACAACCTAGTCATCTAAACTCGGCTTATCCTAAGTATATTTTCAAATTAAGTGTCTACTTTAAAAATCGCTTAATAAATAACATACACTAAAGTTGAAAATAATATATTTTTTCAACTTCAGTATGCATTTTCTTGTTTTCCGGTTTTTGCTAATATGAGGTACCCATCGGAGCTGGGTAGACGTTCTACAGACTTGAACCCGGATTGGAACTCGAGACTTTCGGGTTAGCAGCCTAGCTCTCTACCGCTATGCCACGCCAACCACATATCCTAAGAAGTCTAATAATATAAAAAATGCATTTGTTGGTAGGAATTTATGTCATTATGCTGTCTTTAGCTTATGTATAATAAGGTCTTAAGGTCTCTATCACAAACACGTTAGGTCCCTATCCCGCGAGTGTCTTTAAGTTATTGTACTGATTTAATTGAGTAATGTACGAGCTAGAGCATTATAAAACTAAACTATATTCGAATCAAATAAGTTTTTAGTTCAATATCATCGATATAATATCTTTAGTTAAGCCAGACGACTGTTCAATACTGATCCTTTTATTGGTGACGTCATTTTTTTGGTTTATGCCATCCAACCATACACGGCATCAAAGAGCTGGCTTCAAAAGGATCAAAAAAGAAACGGAATGGAACTAGTATAACACTATGGTATGGATTGTGGTGGATAGAGATCAAGTACCCTGACACACTCACAGCACTTTTTATGTTCTTTAAAAGGGCACTAAACTAACCGCTCAGATTAATGGAGTATGACTAGTGGTATAGCATGCTGATGGCGTGGCCTAGCGGTAGAGCCCGAAAGTCTCGAGTTCGAATCCAGATTGAGTTCTACGAGAGACATGAGACAACTCCAAAATCAAACAACTGCTGCTGCCTTGAAGTTTGTTCTTGGTTGGACAAAGGCTATGGATCCAAAAAGAAAAGCAGACTGAAATCGAAGTCGATTGCCTCAATGGCGCATAATCGGTATAATATGAAGGGATATCGATGTCAGCACTATGCTCATCCGCCTTTGCTAATGTGAGGTACCCATCGGATCTGGGGGGTGGACGTATACTTAATTGTGTTGGAGTGAATCCCTTCCAACACTAAAATTATGAACGAAGAAGAAGAAGGGTAAAGATCCCCATGCTTATACACACAGTATATAAAACCCTCCGGGTACCACACTAAAGTGGGCCTATACACAGTGTTAATGTTATGAGGTAATCAAGGTCTTTGATGAATAAAACTAAGCAATTATTGCAAACCATTGCCCTCCTTTCACAAAATAGCAATAAAAACAGAAAGTGATATTTCAACGCCAAGGTTAGACAAAGATACAAAATATAGTCCGAGTAGAGACAGAGAAGTTTTAACCCAACGGAATTCGAACCTACCATTCCACTCGGTACCAAATGGCCTCGCCATCTGATTATATTGTTAATTCAGAAAAAACGCCTGCTTCCATTCCATCCAATAAAAATCTTTTGACAAAAAATATATTTAAATGGCATTCGCCATAAAAATCCAGTTATTTCAAATAAATACATTGTAATAGTAACTCAAATTAAGTGTTTTATTTATTTTTTATTTTTTCAAAAATACAACAACATTTTTGATAACCCAAAAAATGTATCGCTCAAGGTACTTCATACAAAACTAGTTATTTATAAAATAATATTTCTGACTCCCCCCCCCCCCCATCACACACCACCTACACTCTCTCTAAGTACTAGCGTCATATACAGACAACTACTAACGATGTAACCTGTAAAAATTTAACAACAAATTCCCAGATTAAAAAAATATATAACTTTATCCGTGAGATTATCTATACTAAATATTTAAGATCAGGTAATTACTCACCGAACATGATTAGTATTTGTACGTATCCATTACCGTCTCGACGCCGGATTGCAGTTGTTTACCACACCTCACACAAACGTGAACAACAGATTGCCTTTTTTTTAGGCCTTGTGAAATCTTTTTCCCAACTAAGTCATTGTAATCTTGGGTCAAATGACACTTTGAGTTGTTGTTCAAGGGAAACAACTGGTTGGTGTGACCGTAACCCGCGCTGTGAAATTTGAGGTAGTAAATTGGTTGACACTGAGACTAGTATTTCGCAGTTATATTAGATGTTTCAGTTTATGATTAAATCAATGTCTGTGTCTCTGTCTATGTCCTTGTCGGTGACGATATTTAAATGATGTATGTGTCTATGTCTGTGTCCGTGTCTATGTTTGTGTCCGTGTCTATGTGTCTGTGTGTCTGTGTAATTCTGTGTCTGTGTGTCTCTGCGTCTGTACCTCTGTGTGTCTGTGTGTCTGTACGTCTGTGTGTCTCTACGTCTGTGCCTGTGTGTGTCTGTATGACTGTATGTTTGTTCTTCGGTACGTTTGTGTGTCAGTGTGTCTGTACGCCTGTGTGCCTGTACGTATGTGTGTCTGTACGTATGTGTGTCTGTACGTCTGTGTGTCTGTACGTCTGTGTGTCAGTACGTCTGTGTGTCTGTACGTCTGTGTGTCTGTACGTCTGTGTGTCTGTACGTCTGTGTGTCTGTACGTCTGTGTGTCTGTACGTCTGTGTGTCTGTACGTCTGTGTGTCTGTACGTCTGTGTGTCTGTACGTCTGTGTGTCTGTACGTCTGTGTGTCTGTACGTCTGTGTGTCTGTACGTCTGTGTGTCTGTACGTCTGTGTGTCTGTACGTCTGTGTGTCTGTACGTCTGTGTGTCTGTACGTCTGTGTGTCTGTACGTCTGTGTGTCTGTACGTCTGTGTGTCTGTACGTCTGTGTGTCTGTACGTCTGTGTGTCTGTACGTCTGTGTGTCTGTACGTCTGTGTGTTTGCGTGTCTGTGCTTGTGCTTGTGTCCACGTCCTCGTCCATGTCCTTGCCTAGGTCTATGTCTAGATCTATGTCCATGTCTACGTCTATGTTAAAAAATCTGTAAAAATCTAA